AAACGAGTGAACTATAATGATCTCATCGTTGCATAAATGTTTCTAACAGAAATGCTTTAAATTACTTTTCATAGCTATTAATATATCACCTTCAATTAATGAGAAAGAAAAAATATCCGTAAAATGCCCAGTGATAAATTAGTTTAAAAAATATAAAGCGAATACTACAAAAACATTATCAACTCTTATCTGCTTTCTTTAAAAAACGTGGATCGGAAACTAAACACATCCAATCCAGATTTTTTAGCGCTGTATTCAGCTTCACCAGCTTTCGTCGTTGTACTTCAAATGTCTCTTCCTTGGCTATCTGAAATGCGTACAGTACTGTACAACACAGGAAGCAACAAAACCTCCACACACATCTTTATAATTAATCATAGATTCCATCAGAAGTGCCATTACCATAAAATGAAACAATAGAGTAAATGATTACTCTTATTTAATCTTCATAAGTCCAACTATTAGAACAGAGGGAAGTTTTTTTTTCCACAGCAATATACGTCATATTCGCTCAGCTATATACAAGACCTATTCAAATCTAGGTAATTTCTATAAAAAATTTTTAAATTATGTCGAATAAATCATGAGGTGCATAAAGAACGATAAGAATATTTCTATAGATTTTCAAACGACATACAAATATGAAACTAATACCAGTTCAGGTGGTTTATGTGGAGGACTTGGATCGGTCATTAATGTAATGAATTCATCCTCACTGATGTTAGCCACCTTTGGCACATAATCAATACGTAATCTTATTTCTGTGATCTTCGATAGAATATATTCACAATATGAAAGCAGTTGTTCCGGATCGCTTATACCTTGTTGTTGGTGCCAACGATCTACCGATTTCGTCAAACTTGTCATCAATGTATAAGTTCTATAAAGAAATTGAATCATCTCCATTCTCCATGCACTAAGCAACAGGCAAATTAAAACAAACAGCTTATACCACAATCAGGGTTCTTCCGAACTTTCCTTCAAAAGGGGAAGGAAAGTTCATAAAGATGAATAGTTAGTTAGTTATCTGATTGTATTAATTCGTGCTACACAGAATAACAATCAATTCTTAAAACGCATGCAAGAAATGAACTGCACTGACAAACAAATAAAAAGAAAAAAGAACGTAATGAATAACATAAAGCACCTAAGCAGTAACTCCTGGACTAATTCACGACCGATACATGCCAAAGAAGCAACTGAATATTTGGAAAGATCAGTCAGAATCTCGGGTGAATATGGTGGAGGATTCATTGGTCGAGTTATTTTCGTTTCTTCTTTCTTTGATTTTTCATCAGCCTGGTCCGCTGCTCTACAATTTTAATGGGTTGAAATGGTATTTATTTTCTATATTGCCTTTTTGTACTATTTTCTACTATCAATGTGTCTTGCACATCATGAAGAAATATCAGCATCAGTTCTTCTCAACCAATAACATCCTTATGCATACCTTTGAGTAGATTGTTGTGATTGTTGCCTTTGCGATTGTTGCTGGGGCTGATAAGATTGTCGATTTTGAAACTGTTGCTGTTGTTGTTGTTGTTGCTCATTTGACGTTTGCGATTGCACTCCTAGCGAATAATTAGATTGAGATTGTGATGGTCGTATTCCCGGCGAGGATTCTTGAGAAGTCCCTGAAGAATATGGCCTTCCCGGCATACCCTGCATGTTTGTACCTCCACTACCATACATCTGAGCTGTCGCTACTCCCTGCATATTCATCATCTGCTGTTGTTGTTGTTGCTGACGCTGATCAGTTGTGGATGGTGGATAACCCATCATCATAGCACCACCTGCACCAATTAATATTTGAGCAAATGTTAAATATCCTCTTCCTACAGCCGTTTTTGTACCTGTGGCCACAATTTTTTTTTGTAACCTCCACATCCATTCTTATCAACAACAATTATCTTTATAAACGAATCCTACTCCCAATACTTTATTGATTCGGGATTGCCAAATCATTTCGATCCCTTATCAGACCCATCTCGTGATAGTGAAAATCGACTGGATAATGATTTAATTACACCCGCGTATTCATGCACCTACTTCTAACCTACGACTAAAAGTAAATACCAATTAAAAGAAATATACCTTGCGTCTGTTGATAATATACTGGCTGATTCGGACCAACACCTGAATTTTGCATCTTCCTGAAGCAAGATTCACTTATGTAAACAAAAGATTCGTACAATTACTGAATTCCACCTTTCCTCTCTCTTTTAGTGACAAGTTTATCACATTTTTGCAGTCATATTACTGAATTTTTCATACTTCTCTCAAACAAATATCAAACATCAAACCTACCAGAGATCTTTTTCGTTCAAATAAACTTCTATCCATTGAAGGAATCAAAAAAGGCAGTACCAGTTGTTGGAAGGATAAGAATTTATTTAAGAGATCACATACAACAACGAAAGATATGATTTACATATAATCACGACGGTAAAGAGACGAATATCACTCACTGAATATAAACAATTGCCACGAATCATTTTGCATATTTTTAAATCAGCACCCGAAATTTCTCATTAAAAAAGATTTTATTCCCACGATGTATTCACTTTCATAAAATTTTAAATAATTTTATTTCAGTTTATATTCGTTATAACAAAAGAAAGGACAGATTCCAAAATTGAATACTTAGTTTCACATTTTCTTGTTTGTTATATGTAATTTAAGCGTTTTTTTTTCAGACCTTGCAACTGATCGTTTTCCCCTGTAATTGTTGCAATTTTATATAAAACAAATGATCAAATTGAGTTTCAAAACCCAGGAGCAAGTTTTACCATTTCACTGCGAGCTCTGATAAAAGCACCAATTAAAGCCCCAAGTTGTAATCGATCTGAACAACCCTGCGACAGATGGTACTCGATATCCGCCATAGAAATTATCAGTCGGCTTAATAATTCTGGTGGTATAACGAGACGGAATATGAAACCATGCATTGAGTTCAATATATCGCTGAGTGCAAATGCACGTTCATTTCGAATTTCTTCTATTTCTGTAAAATAAGAGATTGGTGAAAAACTATTCATCTGTGTGGTTTCTGCTAAGAAGCTTCTTATCATTCTACAAAATACCAAACTGTCACGACGAAAGACTGCATTAAATGATTGAAAAAGACTTCATATATCAAACTATGTAACTAAATATAGTACCCTCATGCAGCATATTATCAAACTATGTAATTAAAAATAGTACCCTGGATTTCCATAAGGAGATCAAATCTAGCTAATGTTTACTAACAGTTTTAAGGTATTACTTGTATAAGCATCTTCTATTGAATCGTTTAATAGTATTCTCACAATTTTATCAACATCAGTTGGTAGGGGATAACCCACACATTGATAAACATTTCGTTCATCAACTTTTTTAAAAGCCATTGCTGTGCTCTGCAAACGTTATACCATAAGAGTTAAAGATATGTTAGAGACTCAAACTTCAAGTCTTTCAGCACTACTCACAATAAATAGATAGTTACCAGTTACTGTTTAAGAAATTAAAATAATTGATATAGAAAATCCATCTACCAAAACACTTTTTACGGATAAAACACTTGTCTATACAATATCTGACGTAAGATCATCCGTAATCATATGTCTTTTTCCCTTCCATCAGCTATTTGTTGAGTTTCAGGTTATTAATTGCTATATTGCTAAGCTGACTCACTTACAAATTAACTGTAGAAATTAATTAGTAGTCATAAAGTAAGGTTTACCTGCAAAATGTTAATAACCCGTCTCATGTCTCCTTGAGCCAAATTTAATAGCGCTTTCTCACCGTCTTCCGTTACAATCAGTGATTCCGCCTGCACGATATGATGCAACCGTGGTATTATTTGTTCCTTAAAGAATACTTTATAATAAGCTTTTAATATGCAGATTGTTCTCTGTCTTGAATTAAACAATCTAAGCGTGATCTACTTGCTGAAATTGATGATAAATGAAAATATTTGATATAGATATTAAACAAAAAACTAACACTTGAAAGTGGGGCGAAACGCAGACGTGTGCAGCGTGACTGAATTGCCGGAATGATTTTCGATAAATAATTACATATAATACAGAATCGAACATTGTCTGTGAATTTTTCAATTACACGTCTAAAAGAAGAAATTATTCTAAAAACAGCAAACATAAATTCTATAGATTAAATCAGTACAGCAGAAAGTACCTTAAGGCACTCTGTGCATCCTTCGTCATAGCATCAGCTTCATCTAGGACGATCAATTTCGGTATATTTCCTTGGTTCTTGTCTATATTTAATGTGCTCGTTTGGGCAAAATTAATGATCTGCTCGCGAACAATTCCAATACCTCGATCATCAGATGCGTTTAGCTATAAAATACGACCGGGAAAAGATTTGAGAATACAAATCTTTGCAGTATTTGCATCCATACACGAAAGTAGAAGGAAGTGATATTGATGGAAAAGAAAAATGCTACAAAATAATGTTGGTATCGTATCAACGATCAGATCTATCGAAAAAAATTCCAGTGATAGCAATGATATCGGTGATTTTGTTATTTACAAAAAGAAGCAATAAATTCTTAGCAAGTATAGCATTGAAAATTTTGAATTTAACCAAATAAATTAAAAGATGTACTTCTAAAACCATGGATGATAACTGCTTCGGCGTATACATCATTCTTGCAGCGGCCAATATGGCACTCGTTTTCCCTGTCCCAGGAGGACCATAAAACAGTAAATGTGGCAAGCGGTTTTCATTGATCAATTTCATAACTAAATCATACGAATGAAATTTTACAAATGTAATATATTATTCGTCAAAATATATTATTTACCCTCATGAATTCCACATTACGATGATATAATATTTTCAATATTTCTCGTAATACAAAAGATAAAAAGTGGAGTAACTTACGCGTTTCAGTGATTTCTTCATGAGCAATGAGTTCAGTGAGGGAAGCTGGACGGTACTTTTCCACCCACGGCATATTGACAGTACCATCTCCTCTGATCTCTTCATCCAAGACCATTGTCAACCAAACTACTTATTCGATCGAATTCAAGCAACTCTCTCCCGCGGTACTTCAACTCAGGTCAGGGTACGAGTTGCAAATGATTGCTTGAGAAAGGTAACCTTTCGAAGGTCGAGGAGTCTCTGATGGAGTGTGATTCTGGTTTCTGTGGTTAATTTATGGGTTTTTATCATCCTTCTCAAGGATTCATGTGTAAATCGTTATCTTTGTATTATGCATTTGCTAAAGTCAGATCACGTCTATCCGTGCATACACTGATCTGACCTGTTCTTTCTGTGTGCACTGTTAATCTGATTTGATCAGAATAAATGTCAATAGATGGGTAATAAGATAAAGCTAAGTCACAATGATAACCAATATGCCTAACTTTATTTAAGGCTCTTTTATGCCTTAGTGCCTCTTAAATTTGGCTAACATGGAAAGTATTTAGGCTTCTTCGGTAAATTGTTCCGTTTATTGATAAGAATTACTGCGAATTGCGCTTGATAATTAGACTTTTTTTGTTTGTACCTGTTGGTGTGTGTAAGTTGGTTCGAAATTGTTTTTACTTATAATTATTATTTTATGATAAAGTTTAGCTCAATTCATTGCTGATAAGCACAATAGAATTCAAAATTTCTACAGATTTATTATTTCAAGTTGAAATTTGAAGATGGATTCTGCTGGCAGTGGTGTGGCGTCATCAGGTTCATTACGCACAAAAATATCACTAAAGGGTAGATATTCGCAGCTGTCGTTAGTGTGTCCTTTTCATTTAATGAAACCCGAATTGCCACGTTAGTTTTATTTTTTTTTTTATTTTTAAATGAAGCCTTATTTACAATATTTTCAACGATTGAAACATGAATGAGTGATGAGTGAGATTCAGCCTTTAGGGAAAATTCACGTATTATAAGAAGCTGCGAAAAGGGCTAGGAAATTTATCATGAGTTATGATAAATTTCCTACTATTTTTTAGTAAATGAATCAAGAAATGTGCTATCAGCTACTAAGGAGAGTTTGAAATATTAGTCTTTTGCTTTTTATAGTTTGAAATTGCCATTTTCCTAGCGAAAAGTGGTAATGTAATAAGCGCCACTTATACAGTTCAATTATGTCCATGTGTTCAAATTAGAAATTCTAAAAACTTTTATTTTTTTGATGTATATAATAAGAAATTCGATTGATCTAATTTTTGGTACTTTTAAGAGAAAAGGTTTGTAGCCTTGAATTTTATAGAGCAAAGCGTTTTACTTGGCAGTAACGATTTATTAGCGGAATATGATATGAGCTCATCTTATCAACGGTTTTGTGGCTCAAAACGATTACGTGAGGATCTTAGCTCCTTTCTCCCGCATCTTGTTGGCAATTTCAATTTTGAAAATGCTTTGGAATTCAGGTTTTTTATTCTTGAAAATCTTCATTTGAGTGAATTTCATAATAGACGTTTATTTCCAGTAGACGAACATAGCGATCTGTTAAGAAGATATTAAATCAGGATGATACAATTGCTGGGAAGTTTCAAATAAATTGAAATATATATAGAAAGCGACTTTGATTGAGTGAAATGATTTTCGATTTCTTATTATACTGCTATATGAAAAAAGATTGTATTCATGAATGCATACTTCTGTATTTTTAATGATTAATGATTTTCATTCTTCATTATTTTAGTTCGCTGCGAATGTTGGTAGAAAAACCACCGATCACCGGAAAAGAGGTTACCAGTCTTTCTGCGAGCGCAATGGCGGGATTTAGGCTCACACCAGGTGCCGTCCCGGAACCCTACAGGTACATTTTAACATATAAGTGCGTCAAGCAACATTTTAACATTGCTATTTCTATACTTAATTAATTATAAATTTGTAGATATTTTGATAATAAAGTAGATGATGTTAGCGGTGGTGCAATAAATTATGACGAAAATGGTGAAGAAACAAAGCATAAAAGGAAATATAAATGGAGCTTGGATGATCTTGATGGTATGTTTTACACCTTCTGTCTTTACGCAGAAAGCTGTACTTCCAATATCATATGTAACATATCGTTTGCTTTGAAGATATTGATTCGGACCGAAAGTACAGGAAGCATCGCAGCGAGGATAAAGATAGGAAGAAAGAAAAAAAGAAAAAAAAGGATAAAAAACGAAAGGTAAATATTTGGACTACTTGGATTTGAGAAATATTGTTGAATTATTAGTGCAGTAATGGTATCTTTGATATGAATATGATGATGACTAATGTCATTCTGTTCATCTCATGAGAAGTTATGACCATAGCGATTAAACTGTTTGGCTTTTGGTAGTTTTCATGGAAATATCAGCGATCTTTGAAATTGAAACTTATGTCAGGTATGTTAGTAGAGTGCTCTAATTGCTTCTAATTCCATATCGCTAGTAATTCCTGCAGTTTTTTTTTCAGAGAGATGCAAAAGAAGAAGAGTTAAACAATAAAATAAGAAAGATGTGATGAATTTACTGCCTGATGTTACAGCACTTAATACATCTGAAAAAGGAAATGAAGAAATATCATATGAATCATATGAATAGCTGAACTTGAGTGAGGAGATGACGCGTCCGTCGTCCACATTTCGAGAGCATTTCCTGCTAGTACTTAATGCTGCTGTTGTGCTCATCATTGATGTTCACGCGTTATTTCCATTCAAGTTTGATCTCGTTTGTTGAATTTTGATGCAAATATAAGTAGAGTTGATCGTATTTGATAACTATAATTGGTTCCAGTGGTACGAGAGAGTACGTGGTGCTGTTGTTAGCAAGCTCCATACTAGTTTCGCTGTTACTTACCCAACTTCCTAGTAAGTGTCTCATTGTTCTTTTTGCAAAATTTACTCTTACATTCTTTTTTTTTTATCCTAACAATTTTAAATAATGACTATTTTGTTTGCTTTCATGATTTACTTTTCCTCATTGTTTGGGAAAAGATTTTGAATTCGAGCTTACTGTTTGCTACGCATTTATCACGTGTAATATATGATTATCTTTCATTTTCAATCAACACCGAAGAGACGATTCATGCAAAATATTTCTTATGATTTTCTTTAGTATTTGAATATAATCTTAAAGAAGTGATATTAAGCAAGAGATTTCTGCTGTGAAATTAACGAGATCTGTTCCAGATTAGATTCCGCTTTTATGAAGATTTCTTCTGAGGCATTACTGAACAAATTACACTGTAATTCTTAAGATATGTTACCAAGATGCTTATTCATTCTTAAGCTTGCCTGATTAAGAATGATAGGATATTGTGCTGCAAATTGATGGCTTCCTGTCAGAAGTTAGCAGTTGTTGTACGGACTTTTTTGCTTATTTATTTTTCGTGGTATGGATATACTCAGAGGATAATGTAAATAAATCTAAA